CTGGTACCCCATCACGCTGGACACAGCCCACATGGAGCCCTGCCAGCGGGTGGTGACTGGCCTGAGGATGGACCCTTCTGGATGGAGCTTTGGCAGGCAGAGGTGCTTTGGGTTTGCCCGGAGCTGAGGGCACGGCAGTGTTGGCAAGCCCGGCCTGTGTGTGTGCGCACTCCTCCCGGGCCTGTCCGTTCTGGCTAGCCTAGAGACCATCGTGTGGCCCAGGTGCAGGGTCTGAGGGAGCCACAGAGGCCCTGGACCTCTCCCTGGAGGCCTGTAGCCGTGCCTGCTGGAGGGCAGGGAGGGCACGGGGGGCCAGATGGCCCCTCGGAGGGCTGTCAGAACAAACCCCCCAGAGCCGGGCAGCCGTCTTCCTGTCAGGAAGCTTTCCCAGCCCGCCAACAGCCCGCTCCGAAGTATGTCCTCAGGTAGCAGGACTTGAACTCCGCCCCGGGGGCCAGCTTCATGATTGGAAGTCCCTGTCACTTCCTCTGCTGCCCTGCATTGCTCTCTGGGTGTGGACCTGAGCGTCCGAGTGGAGGGACTCCAACTTTGCATCATCCAGGGGCTCTGCCGCCATTCCGTGGCGGATTTCTGTGACCTCACCTTCCCTGCTGCTCACCCCTCCTCCCTCCACCAGCTCGAGCCCCTCCCTGCCCCTCCCTGCCCTCCCGTCCTGCCCTGGCAGGAAGCTCACTTGAGGGGCGCTGTGTCCTGTCAGGAGGCACAGAGCTGCGGAAGTCCAGACTCCTGGGCTGCTGTGTGCCCAGCTGGGGTCATGTTTACCCACGGAGGGCTGCTGCCAGGGCCCCGGCCTGGCCTCACCACCCCGTTAACACAAGCTCCAGGATGAATGCCCATTCAGCCACATAAGGCCTCTTTGTCCTGGGGAGGGGCCCCAGCCAGGACACTGCCCGGCGGCGGTGTCCTCGGCATGGCCCCAGGCCAGCACGGCTGCCCCAGCACGTCGTGGCCCCACAGGGTCTTCTTGGATGGACTCTGGTCTTGGCTTGGAGAGGCTCGGGTGTGGGGACAGGGCCCTGGGCATCGCTTGGAGGGGCTGGGAAAAGCCAGGCGGGCAGAGTTGTTGAGGAAGAGGCTTGGCCGCAGCCTTCTTTGTGGAGCTGGTCTTAACAGAGCAGCTCTGATCTCCATGGCTGCCTGGCCCACCGGCAGATGAGGAAGAGCTGGGCAGCCTGTCTGCTTCATGCCGAGGGGAGGTACGGCCCACGCCGTCTGGCAGCCTCCCCTGGCCAGTGCCATGTCCCTGTGGCAACTGCCAAGCAGCCTGGCAGGCTGGCGGCCGGCTCCTAGCGGCTGTGTCTCCCTTAGGTGGAAGGGCGCTCGTCAGGAATGGGGTAAGATGCTGTTTGTCAGCAGGGTGGTGTCGGGATAGCACCTTGGGTTCTGTAGACCTGGAAGAGTGTGGAAGGGCAGGGGGGAGTCCGGAGCAGCATGCCCAGGGCTGCATGCCCCAGGACTCTGTGAGGCTTGTCACCGATCTGCCCTGTTAAGCCCCAGACACTGGGGCTTCTGCTCCCAGACAGGCACTGTTCTCAGAATGGGCTGAGCACAAACTAGTCCTCCTCAGACCTCCTGGAGTCCAGGGGCTGCTTAGGCTGACGGTCCCCCAGCCTCTGCAGCGGCCCCTCTAGCTCCCAACAGTGGACATCACACTCATCTTCTAGACGCTGTGGTCCAGGCTGGCATTGCCCCCTGGTGGCAGGCAGATGTATAGCCGCTGCCTGCTGGCGGCCCTTTCGAGGTGCATCCCGTGAGACCCATGGCAGTAGGTCCTGGGACTGTGATCTTGGTTGACGGTGCTCAGCTGCAGTGGCGGGGGGCGTACCAGGCCATAGGGCCTCCCAGGCCCTTGGGAGCTGGCTGCTGCCCCACAGGGGGGAAGTCCTGCGATTCCATAGGCTGCCCTCTGCCTGTTTCTGGGCACTATGCTCTGAGACCTGCAGTACAAACTCCTCCTCTGCCCTCCACCCCTCCCTCCCCCGACCCAGGCCAGATGGTGGGGGAGGCCAGGCAGGGTCCAGGGCCAAGGGTTCAGGTGCACAGGCAGGCCTTGCTACTGCCTGTCCAGAAGGGTTGTGGCTGGCTGTGTAGCCCCGCCAGGCCCCAGGGATCCCCTCTGTAGCACAGGGTCGGCGCTGTGTGGGATTGGCCTTCCTGCCGTGGACCAGCATCAGCTCAGGGGCTGGGCGCCTTCAGAGGTTACTTTCTGTTAGACCGTGAGGTGGATGTCTTCTCGTTTTTTGCTGGTTCTGGGGCTTGAATACTGCCCCTGTGCTTTTATGCTCATGGCTAGCACTCTCATTACTTTGAGTCACAGCTCCATACCCAGCTTTGTGGTGATTGGTGATGAGTCTTGTGAGCTCTTCTGCTTGGAGTTGGCTTTGAACCTTGATCCTCAGATCTCAGCCTCCTGAGCAGCTGAGCTTACGGGTGAGCCACCAGCACCCAGCCTTAGGCCTTGAGCTGTGGCCAAGAGTAAGTATGTGTAGATCATAAGAGAGCATGTGCCCAATACTGCCAGAAAACCTTGTCTAGGCCAGGTGTGGTAGTTCATGCCTGTAATCCTAGGGCACAAGATTAAGAATATCATGGTTTGATGGGCTAGGAAGGTGGCTCAGTGGTAGAGCGCTTGCCTTGCATGCCTGAGGTCCTGGGTTCAATTCCTCAGCACCACATAAGCAAAAAGAAAAAAGCCGGAAGTGGCGCTGTGGCTCAAGTGGTAGAGCGCTAGCCTTGAGCTGAAGAGCTGAGGGAGAGCGCCCAGGCCCAGAGTTCAGGCCCCACGACTGGACCAGAAAAAAAAAAAAAAAAAGGAATATCATGGTTTGAGATCAGGCCTGGTAAAAAGTTAGCAAGACTTATCTCAAAAACACGTCAGGAGTGATGGTGTGTACCGTGGTCTTGGCTATGTGGGAGTCATAGGCAGAATTGTGGTCCAAGAGTCAGAAAGACATAACCGAAGCAAACAAGGGCTGGGCAGCTCCTGCCTACTCAGCAAAAAGCCCAGTGCTGGTGGCTCACACCTGTAATCCTACTCAGGAGGCTGAGATCTAAGGATCATGGTTCAAAGTCAGCTTGGGACGGAGACTGTGAGACTCTTCAATTAGCCATCAGAAAGCTGGAAGTGGTAGTGCAAGGAACAATATATATTGTGATACTCAGTTTAATAAAAACTTCATAAACTTTCCTACCGGGGCTGGCTTCAAACTGTGCTCCTCAGATCTCAGCCTCCTGAGTATCTAGGATTACAGTATAAGCCACCAGTGCCCAGCTAATAAAAATTAACTTTTAACATGGAAGCAAGCAGTTCCTTTAAAATAACCTTTTATCTCTGAATGTCGTGGGTGTCTTACTACATTTAATCCCCACCCACATACAAAGGAGCTAATGAGACAAACTTCAAAATTAATCTTAGACACTAAGGATTGTGTGTGTGCGCGCCGATGCTCGGGTCTGAGCCCCTGCTGCCATGCTTGGCCAGTGAGTCTGTTTCAGGGGACATGAACTACACAGAAAAGGCCTTCTTGTTTTTTTGTGAGTTTTGAGCATAGGGCCTCATGCTTGCTAAGCAGGCCCCCTACCTGAACCATATCCGACTTCCAGCCCTTCTCAGTGCTGGTTATTTTTGATAGGGTCTCACTTTTACCTGGAAGCACGTTAGGATTGTAATCCACCTATTTTGGGCTTCCTGTTGTTGCTGAGAGGCACAGGACACCATGTTTGTCTTTCTGCCATTTAGATGGGAGCCCCATGGACTTTTTTGCCCAGACAAGCCTTGAACTGTACTCTTCCCAGTCTCAGTCTCCCACGTTATTAAGAATTTACCACTGTATTCAGCTGTGGGTTGAGAAGGGCCTTGAAAACCACATTAGCCTCTAACTGCCGCCTTCCCATGCCCAGCCTCCCAAGGAGCTAGGATCACAGGTGTGAGCCACCAGGGCGTGGCGCCTTCATCCCTCTGTTTTTTATTTTCACATGCTTCTCTACATGGTTTCATTTGTCCATTTTACAAACCTTTACCTGTATTAGTCTCTACATGTAGTTATTAAACCTGTCAGAATGATTTGTTCTGTATATATAGGTCCTACTATTGAAACCAATTAGACCAACAGGCCCAGTTTATTTTTTGTTGGTGATGGTTTGTCCCTGTGCTCAAGGCTCTAGGTGGCTGACCACATGAGTCACAGTACCACTTCTGGTTTTCTGATGGTTAATTGGAGATAAGGGCCTTTTCTGCCCTGCGCCAGCTTTGAACCAAGATCCTCATATCTCAATCTCCTGAGTAGTTAGGAATAAAGGTGTGAATCACCAGCACTTGGCCAGACCCAGTTTTCCGATTCCAAGTTCCACAAAGATAAAATTCAAAGTTGCATAAATAGGCAGCAACTTAAGTGTACAAAAGTTATCATCTTAGCATCTTGCAAGCACAAGAAATAAAAGGATTAAAAACTACCCAAAAACCCATCCAAAAAAACTGCAAGTGGAGCTGTGGCTCAAGTGGTAGAGAGTGGGCCTTGAACACAAAAGCCAAGCTCATGCCCCAGGACCAGAATAAACATGGCCGGAAGTAGAGGTGTGGCTCAGGTGGTAGAGTTCAAACTCTACCGAACATAACAAAAACACCAGCAAGCTGCTGGTGGCTCATACCTGTAATACTAGTTATCCAAGAGGCTGAGACCCAGGGGATCATGGTTTGAAGTCAGCCTAGGCAAAAAGCCCAGACTCCATCTCCAAAACAGCAAAGAGATAGGCTGGAAGTTGTGTCTCAAGTGATAGAAAACCAGCCAGGCAAGCAAGCTAAGTACAAGGCTAAGTTCAAGCCCCAGGACTGCCAAACAACGAAAAAGCAAATGTTAGCTGGTCATGGTGGCACAGCTAGGCAGGGGTGGCAGGGCTGCAGCCCAGCATCGCCCCAGGGAGATAGGGGATTTCCAGGACCTTCCAAAAAGGAACTAAACAAAACAAGACCAGGTGGTGAGTTCAGTTTGAATGTAGAGAAACTTTATTTAGACTTCTTTTAAAAATCAATCTAGTTTAAAAGTAAGTTGAGGTAACAAGAACTCAAAACTAAGACAAGTCAGACAGACGTAGAACAGACAAGTGCACAGAGGGGAAGGCAGACTGTGGTCAGACCTTGTCCATCTTGGAGATGAGACAGGAGAATGGACAGATGGACGGACAGACAGGAGAGGGCTGTCTGAGCTCAGATCTTGACCCTCTTGGAGATGAGAGAGAAGACTGGACAGGTGGACGGAGAGACGGGAGGGCTGGCTGTGCTCAGATCTTTTCCATCTTGGAGATGAGGTCATCACAGATCTTGGATAGCTCCTCGTTTTCTTTAGTCTGAAGGGAAAAAGGGGCACTGTGTCTGACGATGATCGGGGGAGCCCCTCTATCCCAAGGCCGGCCTCCACGGCAGGCCGGAGGGCCCTGTGCCCCACCTTCTGCTCCACAGTCTTCTCCAGAGACTGAATCTGCATCTGTGCCTTCCTCAGGCTGGCTTGGAAGGCCAAGGCCTCTGCTTGGGCCTTGCTTCGGACCTGCGTGATCTCCTCATTTGCTCTGTAGGGGTGGGGGCGGAGACAAAGGTGGGCTCCGTTCAGAAGCCAGCCTGCCTCCCTCCCTCTCTCCCTCCCTCCCTCCCACAGTCTGGGGTCTGTGCCGCACTCACAGTTTGAGCTTCTCCTCTGCGTGGACCTTTAGCACCCGGTACCGCTGGCCCTCCTTCTCAATCCTCGCTATGTACTCTTCCACACACTTCTTTAGGGAGTCTTCATTCTTTAGGAAGGAGCACACACAATGGTTGGTGGTGTGCCGTTCTATCACACCACGTGGGCACTGAGCCCAGGTGCAGGCTGCAATGCTGCCTGGGGACAGTAGTGACACACGTTTCCCATTTTCCTTTTGGAAAGCGTCTCTTCGTACCCTCCTAGGCTGACCCCCAGCGCTTGCACTGCTGGGTGTTAAGCTTGGATGGGGGGCGGTGGGGCATGCAGCCTACGCCACGCCCTCCTGTGGCCTTCCTCCCACAACGCACTCCGCAAACACCCCAAGTCCATACCAAAAGGCTCAGTGCTGCTTGGTGCTGGAATCTTAGCTACTTAAGGAGGCTGAGATCTGAAGGTCATGGTTCGAAGCCAGCCCAGGCAGTAAAGTCCACCAGACCCTTACCTCCAGTTACTTACCAAAAAGCTGGGGATGGAGCCATGGCTCACGTGGTAGAGCACTAGCCTTGAACACAAAGAGGCTCGGGGATAACGCCCAGGCCCCGAGTTCACCCCAGACGGGCACTGCTGCCCCACCCCCACCGGCTTGGTCACCACTGGCTGTGTGCACACCGTGCTCCTCATGACACGAGTCCTCGCTGAGGGTTTTTTTGTGCCTCTGGGGATCAAATTCAGAGCCATACGTGTGCCAGACAAGTGCTTTGCCAAGCAGCCACAGCCCTGGCTCCTCTGCGGGGTTCTACCCCTCAGCCTGCTCTCCCCTTTCCAGAGTCTATGGGGTTCGGGGCCACCTGGGGTCGGGGAGCGGGACAGGCAGAGACCGCAGAGGGGACACGGCCCGGTGCGGGGACGGTGCTGCGACGCCGGGCCCACAGCACAGCGCACCACGCACCTTGCGGTAGCCTTCAATCACCTCCTTCTGCTTCTCAAATCGCTTGAAGAGGTCGGAGAATGACTTCTCCATGGAGTTCAGGTCTGCAGTAAGCTGGTCTCTCTCCTTAAGAACCTTCTGGATTTTGTCTTGGGCAAGGTCCTTCTGTTTCTGGGTCTCCTCTTAAAGAGAGGCGACATGTGAGATTAGGAGCAGCTGCCATGCAGGGTGCCAGAGGCGGCCCAGAGAACGAGGGCCGGGAGGGGCAGCGGGAGAGGGCCGGGAGGGGCAGCGGGAGAGGGCCGGGAGGGGCAGCGGGAGAGGGCCGGGAGGGGCAGCGGGAGGGGCCGGGAGGGGCAGCGGGAGAGGCCGGCGGCTTGGAATAGGGATCTCAAGACGTGGCCCCTCCAGGCCACAAGGTGACAAGCCTCCCTTTCCGTGTGCCCCTTCCATGTCTGCCCCACAGGGAGCCCAGAGAGGGTGGGGCAGGACATCCCAGTGAGACAGGCCAGGCGTCACCTGCTTTGTCTCTGCTCGACCTAGCCTGGACCCTCATGGGGACCCCTCCATGGGTCGGGCCCCTGCGTTCCTGCAGAGGCCCCTGGACAGGGCCTTCTCGTGTGGGCAGGGCATGGTGGAGCAAAGGTCCCATGGTCCTGTCAGCTTGGGGTCCGGGTGGGTTCCAGCCACATGGGTGGCCCACCTAACCCCATCCCACCCTCAGTGGCCCTCTGTAAGGGGACCGTGGGAGGCGTAACACAGCAGGGGCCCAGCTAGGGCAGGGCTGACCACACCTGAGGACACAGGAAGAAGTAGCTGGTGTTTTACCCATTGAGTGGTGCACGATCGCTTCAAACCCGTCCACGATCTTCCTGTGGGGAGAGGCCTGGTGAGGGTCTGTGGCTGGTCACCAGGACAGGCCCGGGCCAGGGTTGCTGCGCAGCAGCCTTACCCCATCTCCAGGTACTTCACGTGGAGCTCCTCGCACTTGCTTTTCAGCTCCAGGTTCTCCTGGTGAATCGCGCTCACCTGCCAAAGCACATGCCTGTCAGCACTGCCAGCCCCGCCAGCCCGAGGTGCCTCCCCCGCCGGCCCAGTGTCACCAGGAGATGTGGGCCGCCTGCCATGGAAGCCTCAGGGCCTCCGACGCGAGTACCCCAGAGGGTCTTCCTGTCAGAGACACAGGTCAAGTGTGGGCCTCCAGTTGGCAGAAGGCCAGCCGCGGAGGGAAAGCCAGACTTGAAGTACAGAGGACTTGTGTGGGCTTCTGGGCTTGTCCTGGAATATCATGGGGTCCTGACAGGGGTGGGATGGGTGCCGACGTTCCCACAGGCACCCGGGATCGACGGGGCGCGCCACGTCACAGGCCCGGAGGGAACACGCGGTTGGGGGCCACCATTGGCTGTTGGAGGGCAGATGGCCCCCTGCTCCATCAGTGCACACGTCCCTGAGAAGGCTCTGGAGCCTCTTAAGACAGGCTGGGCCACGGGGCCTAACGAGGACGGGGTGCAGCGTGGGGCTCAGACCTGAGCACTGTGAAGACCTGGACTCTGCAGACAGCGCGGGCAGGTAGCAGACTGTCCTCAGGCTTGTAGCTCCAAGCGCCATCGCAAGCCACTGGCCACCCATGAGATTCCCCCAGAGACCCACACTGCCGCCATTTCCCCATGGGATGGATGGCTGAATCTGGGCTGCCGGCTGGCATGTGCAGAGCTGCCAAGATGTCTGGGCTGTGGGGAGGGAGCCACACCAAGGCTGTGCTTAGACCATTGGGACCTTTTTTCGTGTGTGTGTGGTTAAGGGGCTTGAACTCTGGGCCTGGGTGCTGTCCCTCAGCTCTTCAGCTCAAGGTGGGCATTCTACCACTTGAGCCCCAGTGCCACTTCCTGGGGCCTACTTCTTACTGCCCCCAGGCAGCCTGCGTCCTCACCGCCGCATCCAGGTCCCTCTGGCTGTACTGCAGCACCTCCACGATGGGCCCAGTGGACGGCTCTCCAAGGCCAAGGCCACGAGGGGACGGGCCAGGAACCTGCTGGGGTGAAACCACCGGCCCTCAAGACCACCGCTCCCGCCCTCGGCCACACAAAGATTGCTCCGAAGAGGTGAAGTGCTTACAGGAACATCCAGAGCGCCCAAAAAGTCCAACTCCACAAGCTTGGCTTCCAGTGGGTTTCTGGAGGCGGGCCTGTCTGCATCCTGCGGGCTGAAGATAAGACAGCGGCTGGCTCACCTCATGCACTTGCAGGGAGCAGGGCACAGGGACAGAGGCACCCAGTCTTAATGAGGCCCGTGTCCAGATTTATATCTATTTGAAAAGGTCTTGCTATGTAGTCCACATTGGCCACAAACCTGTGATTCTCCTGCCTCAGCTTCCTGAGGGCTGTGATTACAGACCTGCACTACTATATCCCATAGTGGTTGGAAACAGAAAATGCAGAATGGTATGTCAGGCCTGATGCCTCCACGGGCCCCAGCCCCCACCTCCCTCCTCCCTGCCATCAGCCTGAGCCACTGTGAGGTGCTCTGCACAGCTGAGGCCTCAGCGGGGGCCCACACCATGCCTTCCTTGGCTTTGGGGGTTTGACGCCATGCTTGGCATGCACTCTCTCATATTACATAAACACACCCCTTTCCTTCCAGGGCAGGGCCAGCCTTGCTTCTCACATCGAACCCTGATGCTGTCAGGCTGTCTTTGAAGTCAGCTCACCACAGACCATTTGTGAAGGGTCAGGCATAGTGATGGGCAGTTTTACTTATGAAAACAAACCACTGCGTACACCCGGCCAGTTAGTGTGCTGAGGTCGGCTGTGCATGCGGAGGTGTTGCCCGCCCAGGCTGGTGTGCATGTCAAGCACCAGGGTCTCTTTTTACGGGAGGGCCAGTTGCCTGTTACACAGCAGCTCCACAGCCTGTTCTGTCCTGCTCACTCGCCACAGTGGTTTATTTCTAGTTTAGACCAGCCCCAGGCCAATCAGGGCACCAACTAACAGCCACCTGACTTCCTTGCTCGAGCCAGTAGTTTCACAGAGGAGGGGACATACCTGTTTATTTCCCGGACCACGGACAATGGCCGAAGAGGGCTGTCTTTCAGGAGTGGGTCAAACTTCAGGTACAAAGACTGTTTCCTCCAAGCTGACTCCTTAAACTAAGGGTAAAGGGTAGGGGACAGGGGAGGGGCAGTTAGCTTAAGCTTGGGATGAAGGGCTGGGGACGGGGGCTGCCCGTGGTTGGCAGGGATCACTGCTGTCCCAACAGACATCAGGCAGTTCCAGAAGCTGGGTGATCTTGTTGGGCAAAGGACCCTGGGAAGCCACAGTACACTGTGCTGCTGGCACCAGGGTGCCTACTCTTGCCACTCAGGGCAGGCGCCTGGGTCAGGACTCTGCGAGGATCACAGGATGCCATTCCCGACAGCGGCTCTGCGGGTATTCTAGCTGTCAAGCCCCAGGGCTGCTGAGTGCACTAGAGCCTGGACCAGGAACGGGATACATAGGTGTGAGGTTGCTGGGTACCTACCGAGTTAGTTCCAAACTGCTCCAGATAATCCACCTCGGCACAGGTGCCTAGAACTGAAACGGGGGAGTCACAGCTGCCGTCACCTCCTCTGGGCCCTGGGCTCCGACAGATACATGCCAGCGCTCTCGAGCGCTCAGCTCTTTGAAATACGGGCAGGAGATCCCTGCCCTTGTGGGGGCTCTGGCCCGGCCCCCAGCTGCACACACAGGAGTGACCGCTCTCCTTCATTAACTGAGTATCACGGCTCTGAACTAGGCCTTATTCTCCTACCTGGTGCCCTACCACCTTAGTCTTTTTTTTTTTTTTTTTTTTGGGTCCGGTCGTGGGGCTTGAGCTCTGGGCCTGGGAGCTGTGTCTCAGCTCTTCAGCTCAAGGCGAGCACTCTATCACTTGAGCCACAGCACCACTTCTAGCCTTTTCTGCTTATGTGGTGCCGAAGAATCAAACCCAGGGCCTCATGCATGCAAAACAAGGACTCTACCACTGAGCCACCTTCCCAGCCCCTAGTTCTAGCTTCTTTTGCTCATTTATTGAAGATAAAATCTCTTGGCTCTGTTCAAAACTCACTTGTTCTTAGATTCTCTCTGACCAAGCTGGCTTTGAGCCATGATCAGGTGAGAGCTACCAGTTCCCAAGTAAATGCTTTAAAAAAAAAAATTCCTATCCAAAACGGAATCTAAGAATGTGGTGTTCAGGAATGCTTGGGCCAGCTGTATTTTCTGGTCTTATGTCTGATTAGAGACTTGCCTCTTATAATGCCCTAAGGAAAAAAATAGCCTAACTTAAAAAAAGGCAAAAGGGGCCGGACAGTTGGCTCAAAGAGTACAGTACCTGTCTAGCAAGCTTGACACCCTGAGTTCAAAAGTTCAAACTCTTGGGCTGGGAAGGTGGCTCAGTGGTAGAGCGCTTGCCTTGCATGCCTGAGGCCCTGGGTTCGATTCCTCAGCACCACATAAGCAAAAAGAAAAAAGCCAGAAGTGGTGCTGTGGCTCAAGTGGTAGAGCGCTAGCCTTGAGCTGAAGAGCTGAGGGACAGCGCCCAGGCCCAGAGTTCAGACCCCATGACCGGACCCAAAAAACAAACAAAGTTCAAACTCTTAATAGTGAGTATATGTATGTATGTGCGAACAAGTGCACGCACATGCACATGCACACGTGCGCTGGAGCAAATATATAGCTCAAAGATATTCAAAGATCACAAACTAAGGGTGGGGAGAGGATGGGAAGGGATGAAAAGGGGAAACAAAGGAGGAGGCTACAATGCTTGATAAGAAATGTACTCATTATCTTGTCCATGTAATTATAACCCCTCTGTACAGTATTTTCACAATTAAAAAAAAAAAAGATCACAAACTCAAAGATACTCAAAGATTGTTAAGCTCGAGGCCCAGTCTGGGCTACAAAGGGATAATTAGATCAAAAATAAATAAGTAAATACAAAGAGCACCAGTAGCTTGCCCTTATAATCCTATTCAGGAGGCTGAGATTTGAGAATTGCAGTTTAAAGCTAGTCCAGGCAGACTAATCTCAAAGACTTTTTATCTCCAATAATCAGAGAAAGGCTAGAAGTGGAGTTTTTTTCCCCTCCAGTCATGGGGCTTGAACTCAGGGCCTGGGCACTGTCCCTGAGCTTCTTTTGCTCAAAGCTAGCACTCTACCACTAGAGCCACGGGGCCATTTCCAGCCTTTTCTGTTTTATTTATTTGTTGGTCGTCGTGGGGCTTGAACTCTGGGCTTGGGTGTTGTCCTTGTGCTCTACAGCTCAAGGTGAGTGCTCTACCGCTTGAGCCATAGTGCCACTTCAGGTTTTCTAGTGCTTTATTGGAGATAAGAGTCTCACAGACTTTCCTGCCCGGGCTGGCTTTGAACCGCAATCCTCAGATCTCAGCCTCCTGAGTAGCTAGGATTACAGGCGTGAGCCACCGGTGCCTGGCGATCAGCTTTTTCTGTTTATGTGGTACTGAGGAATCGAACCTGGGGCTTTGTGAATGCTGGGTAAGCACTCTACCACTAGCCACATTCCCAGCCCAGAAGTGGAGTTTTGACTCAGTCATGTGTGAAAACGTCAAGTGAGTTGGGCTCTGGTGGCTCACACCTGTAATCCTAGCTACTCAGGAGGCTGAGATCTGAGGACCATGATCTAAAGCCAGCCTGGACAGGAAAGTCTGTGAGACTCTTATCTCCAATCGACCACCAAGATGTTGGAAGTAGAGCTGTGGCTCAAGTGGTAGAGCACTAGTCTTGAGCAAAAAACCCAAGGGACAGTGCTTAGGTCCTCAGTACAGGTACATATGTGTGTGCGCGCGCGACACACACACACACACACACGCACACACACACACACACGCACACACACACACACACGCACACACACACACACACACACGCACGCGCGCGCACACACACACATAAAGTTGATTAAATGTGTAAGTAACCAAAATTGAGAGCTTATCAAGTCACTTAATATCCTTTAACTCAGTTTAACTCAGTTCTCAATGAGCTCACATTATCACAGTATTTCTCTGGTACTGGTAGCACCTTGTTGTTTACTCTGCCTTTGCTTGTATTTGCATCTCCTACCCACATCTTTTGCCTGGTTTTCCTAAGGGCGTCTACACTTTCCCATCTTCTCTGCAGTAAAGGCAGCAGTTCTGTTCTACCAAAGTTATTCCTCTCTCTCTCTCTGTTGGTTGTGGGGCTAGAACTCTGGGCCTGGGCTGTCCCACAGCTCTTCAGCTCAAGGAGAGCACTCTACCACTTGAGCCACAGCACCACTTCCAGTTTTCTGGTGGTTAATTGAAGAGTCTCATGGATTTTTCCTTGCCCGGGCTGGCTTTGAACCATGATCCTCAGATCTCAGCTTAATGAGTAGCTAGGATTACAGGCGTGAGCCACCAGTGCCCAGCTCCTAAGTTATTCATCTTTTGATGGAGTAGAAGTTCCTATTAAGTCATTTACTGGTGTAACAAAGCAGTCTGAAGAATTATTACCTGCTGACAACAGCTCAACCAAGAACAGAACACAAATGCTCATGGGCGTTTTCAGGTGCACTGATAGGGACACCTCAGGCTCACTTACCCTCAGCTGGGTCTCTGAAGCTCTCATCCTTCAGCTCCTGCTGAGGAGACCCAGGTACTGGCTCGGCAGGATGGGCAATCAGCTCACTGTCCACGTGGCTTGTGGGAACCAAAGTGCTTGAGGAAGTCAGGATTCCCTCCTAGAAGGAAGGCCAATTAACTATATACAGTGGAGAACTCCTGGGCAGGGTGCTGCCTTACCCAGTTGCCTTAAAATAAGCCCAGAGGAGAAAGTTGCCCTGGAGAAGGGAAGAAGGCATGGGTGCTCCCCACCCATCACCAGATGGCTGGTGGCCTTTTCTACATAATGGACAACAGAGGTGGCAGCAAAAGGCTGCGTCTGTGTGTGCGCGCGTGTGCGCATGTGTGTGCGCGTGTGTGTGCGTGTGTGTGCGCGCATGTGTGCGCGCGTGTGTGCGCATGTGTGTGCACATGTGTGTGCGTCTGTGTGTGCACACGTGTGTGCACGTGTGTGCGCATGTGTGTGCACATGTGTGTGCGTCTGTGTGTGCACGTGTGTGTGCGCGTGTGTGTGCGCATGTGTGTGCACATGTGTGTGCGCGTGTGTGTGCACGCGTGTGTGCGCGTGTGTGTGCACGCGTGCGCGCGCCGGCAGACAGACCCCCGCTCCACACCTTGCCTTCTGCTCTCGGCGCCTCAGGTGCCACCTGCGGCACAGGGGGGTCATCTTCGTGGGCTGAATGCAGCTGCCTAGAAAGATGGGGTCAGGAGAGGCTTGTGTCAACCCCACATCTGTTGCTACTAAGCTGCCACACATCTCCTTCCGTGCTGCTTCACCTGAGATGGCCACGCTAAAAGGTACGTGAAAGTACATGAAACACGGACTGGGAAGGTGGCTCAGGAGTAGAGCGCTTGCCTAGCATAGATGAGGCCCTGGGTTTGATTCCTCAGCACCACATAAGCAGAAAAACCTGGAAGTGGCGGTGTTGCTCAAGTGGTAGAGCGCTAGCCATGAGCAAAAAGCAGCTCAGGGACAGTACCCAGGCCAGTTACCCTAGTGCTAACATGCTATGCTTGGCTTCTGGAATGACAGTCCCCAGCTTGGGTCACCGCTTGGTGACATGTCTGGGGCACTACCTTACCACAGTGCCAGCTACATTGTTTCCTGGGCCTGGGTGCTGTCTCTCAGCTCTTTGGCTCAAGGCTAGTGCTCTACCACTTGAGCCACAATGCCACTTCTGGTTTTCTGGTGGTGAATGGAGGTAAGAGTCTCATGGACTTTCCTTCCCCGGGCTGGCTTTGAGCCTCCTGAGTAGCTAGGATGGCAGGTGTGAGCTCCTGGCGCCTGGCATTGTGCCTGTTTGTACTACGCCTTTGAGACGGGGTCTATTTGCCTAAGCTGGCTATGAACTTGAGATCTCTGTCTTAGCCTCCTCAGTGCCCAGAGCGCATCACACCTTGCTGTTTCACAATAGCTGAGGGAACTGCAGACTGCGTCCCACGGTCCCAGGCTGGCCGGCAGATCTGCCTCCAGCCTCAGTCCTATGTGCAAAGGCTGAGGGAATGCAGACTGTCCACTGGGGGACTCAGACCCTGGATCACGCCACGGGAGGGCTGTCCTTGACACAGCCCTGTTCTCTGCCCACTTACTGGCTTGGCGGTGAGTTCTCAGGAGCCAGAGGCCCTGGGCTCAGTGGCTGGACCGCTGGATGCACTGATGTCATCTTGGGGCTTTCTGGGGGCTGGGCCTGTTGGCAACCAGATTTGGAGTCACCACCGTGCAGACAGGAATTTGGGTCATCCAGCTGGTCCCAGTCAATGTGGGTAGAGCTCCAGGAAGCAGGCCTGGGGCTGTCCTCCTCCATGCTCATTCCAGGTTTCTCTTCTGGCTCCTTGGGGACTAGCTCCTGCCTAGCCTCTGACCTCACGGGAGGCTGGAGGCCAGGTCTTTTGGCTAATCTCCTTAGTGGAGGAGGAATGCTTTTAGTGCTGGTACCATCTGAGAAGTCAAATTCTAGCCTCAAGGAGTTACACCCTGAAGGAACATCCAGTTGGCTGGTGGCTTCTTCTTCCCTAAGGCTTGGATTTTTGGCCTCCATAGGTGGCAGAAGGCTGGCTGGGGCTGAGTTCTCAGAACCAGATAAGCACACTTGAGGTGGGGATGAGGCCTGAGCTGTTAGCTCAGGGGTGCCCACAGCCTCGGGACAGGCTAGGACCTCACTAGTTGGGTCTCTGGGGGGTGCTCCTCCATGCAGGTCTTCAGAGCTTGTGCCAGGTGAAGCAGCCATGACCGAGACAGCACAGTGGGTGCTTTCTTCTGAGGCTCCGGGAGGGGTCTCTGCCTTGGGTTCCAAAGCTGTCTCTCCAGGGGTGTCTTCTAGGATCTCTGAAGTAGACGGTAAGCTTTCATCTAATGAATAAGAGCTAGCATTTCCCTTGAAGGCTTGCCTAGGGCTGCCAGACATTTTGGGTGAGGTCGTGCAGATTTTAGGACTTCCCGGGTTCTGGGAAGAGCCTGAGGAACTTGTATCAGCCACGGGGGCTGAGCCAGGCTCCTGGGAACCATCCTCTCCAAAAGCTGAGCTTGTGTCCCTTGGAGGAGAGTCAGCATTGGCCACTGCTTCTTTCTCGAGAAATCCATTGGTAGCTCTGGCATCTACTTCCGTGGTGAACTGTTGGCTTTTTAGAAACAAGTGGAGTTAATACTAAGGAATCTATGAACTTTTCAATTAGATTCCAGCTCATGTGAAAACATTAGGTAAAGATGGAAAAACAAGAGTTTTTAGTCAACACCATACTCTTGATTAAAGCCTACTGAACACAGGTCAGTGCTGGTGGCATGTGGGTCATGCAGTCTCTGAGAGACAATGCAGACAGAGGCACGACAAACCCCAGTGTGTATCTTGGCAAGCTTATTTTACTTTACTCTTTAGCCCACAGACCACAGCTACATGGCCAGGACAGTCTCTGCCTGTACGAATGCTGCCTTCAGACCCCACATTACCCATTCCGCTGCAGACTCTAACCCAGTGGTGCCTCAGACCAACACCACAGGGAGGCCAAAAGACAAAGCCACAGCCTCAGCCAGATAAGAAACCCTGCTGGACAGCAGGAGGGCAGAGCAGGGCTGGGAATTAGAGAGCAGTGAGAAAGTACATACTGCTTTGTTTGGTGCAAATGTCACTTGATCTTCAGATTGCTGGAACAGGCCAATGTCACATACCTCAGCTTGCCATTTCAGTGACTCAAATGAAGGGAACCTTATGTTCATAGCCCTGCTCTTTTCTCCTAGTTTAGAAATGTTTAATGAAAAAAAAAAAAATCAAGGAAGTTGAGGTAAGGAATTCCCTGCTTACGAGACTGCTCAGAGCTGCTCTCCTCCCTCCTAGATGACAACTGGGCAGCACTGACCTTCAGGACTGCAACCTTGGTCACATCAGAGGACAATACTCCAACATTTTGTCATTACAGAAGCAAAGATGGCAAGGGCACAGTAAAGCAGTGTAAGTATGCAATTAAAATGAATTCCAAGTAGCTGATGATTAACTCTCCACTAACTGACTAGACCCTACATAAACTCAAGACAAAGATCAAGAGAAAGCCTGTCCAGATGGGATAGCCCTGTGCACTCCTTCCAGGACTCTGAAAGGGTAGAGTTGTAAGACGTTAAGTGGTTCCAATACTCACTTGTCTTTCTGTGTCCAGAAACAGTAGTTTTCTAACCCAACACTGTTATCCAGAGGAAAAAGAGCCTCATGTTTGCTGGACATGCTAGGACTTAAGATCCTGTGTGTCTGTGGATCCCGCAGAGGTGTCTGGAAAGTCACCTGTTGGAGGAGATTAAGGAGGGAGCATCTATTCCATGACACAAGTGTTCATAAGCATACAATGCCACTCAATCAGAGGTCTCCAGAGAAGGCAGACATTACAGCTCACACTTACCTTTGAAGCTTTTGCTTGGTTCCTGGGTGGCACATTTTCTTTCTGCGACAGACGAAGAACAGATGATCTTCCGGTAAGTTCTGGTGGTGAAAACAGGAAGTCACAATTTTCTGCATTTTTTTCACTGGCGATATTTTCGTCGTTGAAGAACTGCAGACTCATTCTGGAAAAAGCAGAACATGCTCTTGTCAGTGTGCGGACAATTATGTGGCATCGTAGTCACCAGCACATCAGCAGAGCTGATCCACAGCGACAGAGATGTCCTAGTCTTGCACAGAACATCTGTATATCTGGTCAGCACACTGAAGCTCACTTCTCATGTAAGTAGCCTCTGTGAGGCAAAGCAGAAAAAGCCTTAGAATGCTTGTCCTGCTTCAGGCTGCATTGGAACCTCTTGGACCGAGAGCTAAAAGAATTTAGGCTGAGACAGAGAATCTGACACTCACACTTACTGTTGCACTACACTACGGGAGGCAGAAAAATGCTGGCTGTCAGAACACAAAAGAGCCAGAGGAAGTCACATATGGGCCAAATGGGTCCACATGGCCCCTTCCACATGGTATAAAGCACAGCAGGCAGCTGAGGCCTCGTTCATGGAATTGGAATGGAAGACAGTGATTCTAGTCCGCATCCCTCCTACCGAGTGAGGAATGGGACTGGCCAGGGTGCCTGCAGGGAGGAAGCCCAGAGAAGCTGAGAGAAGGCAAGCTATGGAGACCCCCCAGTATTCAGTGGATGTCAGGAAGAATCTACACAGGCCCTCTTGGCAAGCTCAGGATCTAGAGTGACTCCATTCTCACTCACCAGGTATTCATGCTGGTCCCCAGATCTGATCACTTTCCCACTCACAGCACCACTCACCCACTATGCACTGCAGAGCACTGACATGCTCAATGGAACCCTGTGGGTACTTGGTGAAGCCCTGGGAATTCAGGTTGAAAAGGCTGTGGGGGGTGGGAGTTACTGGGGAAGAAGTCAGCACAAAGGCGCCCAGGCTGTTGCTGACTCAACTTGACAAGTCCGCTGTGGTGCACATAGCGCTCACACTTTATAATCCAAGCTCTTTGGGAGGCAGAAGTAGCTGTGACAATAGTGAAAGATCTTATCTGACAAATAAAGCAAAAAGGTCTGGGTGTGTGTGCACAATCGAGTGCTATGCTCTGAGTGTTTTCTACTATACCAGCCTTGTCTGTGGGAGAAGAGGTCCAGATGTCCATGGCAGGTGGTAAGATGGAGTTATGGTAACCCTTCAGGTAGTAATTACAGGAAGGAGAGAGGCCCGCTCCCTTCCCCACGGACAAAGCAGCCACTGTGGATCCGAGACTGCCTAACGCCATCCACCTGGGAGGAGCAGCGAGTGCCAGGTGTTGGAGGTCAAGCGCTAGTTAGTGCAAACGGGCACTGGGGCTCACGGCAGACAAGGTCGCCCCGGTGGCAGCGTTGAGGACGAGGCACGATCTGCGCCCCGAGGGACCAAGACCCACACACGTCCTGGAAGAGGACATTACAAAGGCGACAGGAACGCGGGCAGACCGATCCTGTTTCCCAGAGCAGCCATGAGGAGGCCGACACAAAGGCCGAGGGGAGGAAGGCGAACGTGGGGTACGGCAAGGGCTGGATTCCGGGCGCAGCGGAGCCCGGGCGTCCCCGAGAAGCGGGCGATCCCGGGGAAGGGCGGGCGGCGCGGGTGGGCCGTCCCCGCACGCCGCGCGCCGGGCCGGGGGAGAGGCCGGCTCGCACGCGGGGCCCCGCAGGCGCCGGGCCAGAGCCGCCGGGAGGCGCAGCGCCGGCGCGGGGGCCCGCCAGGGCGGGGCGGCCCCGGCGGCGGGGGGCGGCCCCACCCCGGTCCGGAGGGCCACAGGCCTTCGCCACTCACCTGCCGACGTCTGCGGGCGCTGGGTCCGCGCCACCGTCCACCGCAGGGGAGGAGGGAACGCCGGTTCCGCGCCGGCCGAGCCGCGTAGCCCGACAGAACACAAATGGTCGTCGCCGGCCTAGGCCGCAACCGCCGGCCGCCGCGCCCACAGATTCAAATACGGTCGCTTGGCGCCACGCGGCCAATCAGCGCAGGGCGTAGGCGGCCAATCAGTGCGCGGCCCGGGCGGGTCTTAGGGCGCCGGCGGCCAATGGAAGCCGCCCAAGCCCGCCCTTTCGCGTCTGCATTCTGCTTCCGGGACCGAGGGCAGCTGGGCGCGCCCGGGGCTGAGGACCCAGCCGGCTCGGGAACGCCTCCCGAGTTGGTGGGTGGGCAGTGGCCGCGGGATCGTGTTTCGTCAACTGTCAAATGGGATCAGGAGCGGCGCCTCCTTAGTGAGGACCAACTACAGTGTGCACGGGGCCGGGGGCCGGGGGCCGGGGGCCGGGGAGGGGAGAGCGAGAGTCTTCCGGTCCCCGAGGGCTGCCAGACTAGAAACCGGCTCCCAGAGTCCCGGCGATCAGCTTGGAACTGTCTCCCAGGGTGCCTCGCGGCCGGCCAAAGAGGACTCGATTTCCCAGAGGGCCTTGCGGTGGCCTGACAAAGGACTCCGTCTCCCAGAGGGCCCCGCGAGCACCGTGGCCGGGGACTCGATTTCCCAGAGGGCCGCGCGGGTGGCCTGGCTGCCACGGCCCACCACCCCCTCGCTGCCCGGACGCGGCGCTCGCTCGGGTCTCTTCCCGGCTTCCAGAGCCGCGGCGCGATGGACAGCCCCGAGGTGACCTTCACGCTGGCCTACCTGGTCTTCACCGTGTGCTTCGTGTTCACTCCTAACGAGTTCCACTCGGCCGGACTCACGGTGCAGAACTTGCTGTCGGGCTGGCTGGGCAGCGAGGACGCCGCCTTCGTGCCCTACCACCTGCGCCGCACGGCCGCCACGCTGCTGTGCCACTCGCTGCTGCCCCTGGGTGAGCCTCGGGCGCCCGGCCGGCCGGCGCGCTCGCCCCCCCGGCCCGTCGCCGCAGCCCGGGCGCGCCTTGTCTGGAGGGCAGCTGCCCCGGAAGGGGCTCCTGTTGACCGGCCCTGGAAGGGGGAAAGGGCCGCGGGGAGGGAGTGGTGGGAGGCCAGGCACGGTGATGCAGACTCTGTGCCAGGCCTCTCAGGTGAGAAGAGACAGGTCTTTCACATCTGCTGGTCTGTGAACATGAGTACCCAGCAGCTTGCGCATAGGAGAGCTGGAGGGGAAAGTCTGAAAGGACCATGGGGTGGGGGTGGGAACGGAGATGGAGCTGGCAAAGCCAGCCGGTGGTTTGGCTTGAGGACTCAGCGCCCTGTGAGGAAAATGAGAAAGTAGGGATTAGGCAGGCTCCCGGGCCAGAATGCTTCCCTGCAGGCGGTGTGGTGGGTTTCTGGAGCCTCTAGGTACACTCTTCCCTTGGGCACTTCATCCTGACAGTGGGAAACTCCAGCTTGGAGCACACCAGTCATTCATGGATAGCATGTCTAGGGCAGCGAGTGGACCTGGCCTTGCACAAGCCCAGTGTCTTCTCACCCTGGTTTTTTTTTTTTCTTTAATTTTTGAGAAGCTTCCAAGTTTTAAAGATGTAGCTATTACCACATGACGAACTACCTTGTAGTGACTGGGGAGTAGATTTGTTTTTGTTTTTTTTCTTTTTTTGGGGGGTCCGGTCGTGGGGCCTGAACTCTGGGCCTGGGCGCTGTCCCTCAGCAATTCAGCTCAAGGCTAGCGCTCTACCACTTGAGCCACAGCACCACTTCCGGCTTTTTTCTTTTTGCTTATGTGGTGCTGAGGAATCGAACCCAGGGCCTCAGGCATGCAAGGCAAGTGGTCTACCACTGAGCCACCTTCCCAGCCCTAGATTTCTGTTTTTGCAAGTTGGGGCCTCTCTATACAGTTCCTCACTACTTTACCATTTTGCTGATTTGGCCAGCAGGACCCCAAAGCCAGCTCCCTTGTCTTTCAAGCCACATCACTGTTGGAGTTCTTGTTTAGTCTTTTTCAGTGTCCCACCTCTGGAGGGGCCGCTTTGGATCTGCTTCCTCAGAGGCGGCAGAAGGTCTGGTCTAAGGAGCTGCCTTTAGCCGGCTGTCAGTTCTGTGTCAGGTGACACTAGGATACTGTGTTGATTTTTTAAGGCTTTGTGATTTCTTTTATAGTTTTCAGTACTCACGTGCTACTTGTGTAGAACTAAAGTAATAAGTTGAAGGTGTTTTCCTCTAAGCACGTAGTACAGCTGCCATGGCCAAGGACAGAGCCAAGACACGTAGCCTGTGAGGCTTATCTGCGGGGAGCCCACCAGAACCCAGGTGACCAGGGCAGAGGGCCAGGCCTCTGGGTTAGTGGTGCAAGAAGTGGCTTCTCTCTTCCTTCAGCACCATGGACTATAGACGGGTCACTGTGGGAGGAAGGTGGCAGCTGGCAGCCCACACACCTGAGGGGCCTTCTTCTCCTTTGCAGGCTACTACGTGGGCATGTGCTTTGCGGCCTCAGAAAAGCAGCTCTACTCCCCCAGCCAGGCCCCAGAGGCCTGGCAGCTCTTCCTTCTACTGGCTTTAATCCTCCCTTCTGTTGCCTGTGCCCTGATCTACTATTGGTCCCAGGACCGGTGGGCCCGACACCCACTAGCCCGGACCCTGGCCCTTTACTCCCTTCCACAGTCTGGCTGGCAAGCAGTTGCCTCTTCGATCAACACAGAATTCAGGCGGATTGACAAGTTTGCTACTGGGGTGCCTGGTGCACGTGTGGTTGTGACAGACACGTGGGTGATGAAGGTGGCCACATACCGTGTGCATGTGGCCCAGCAACAGGATGTGCACCTGACGGTAACAGAGTCTCGGCAGCACGAACTCTCCCCAGACTCGAACCTGCCTGTGCAGCTCCTTACCATCCGTGTGGCCAGCACCAGCCCTGCAGTGCAGCCCTTTGACATCCAGTAAGCTCCTGTGTGTGATGTTGGCACCGCCTTTGCTCAGGTGTTGGAGGTGGGGTAGGGTCTGTGTAATGATAGTCAACTGGCTTCCTCAGTGCTGCCCTTGGTTACCCTGTTTCCTCCCATGCTGCCCCTTCTCACCGCAGCCGAGTTGCCCTCACAGCATTGCAGGACATGCCTGGATGATCATGGTAACTTAGCTCCTAGCTCTTACTCTCCTCTCCCTCAGGGTGCGTTATCACTGGGGTTGCCAGCTTTTTCCTTAGGGCTATCTCTACTGGCCACGGTTCTGGGAACCCTTTGAGGTTGTCAGGCTTCTGTGGCCCACCTAGCAGGTCATGCCTCTTGCAGGCTGAACTCAGCAGAGTACGGCGAATTGTGTGAGAAGCTCCAGGCCCCAATCCGCAGCGCAGCCAACGTGGTCATCCACCAGAGTCTGGGTGACCTATTCTTGGAGACATTTGCCTCCCTGGTGGAGGTCAACCCAGCCTACTCAATGCCCAGAAGCCAGGTGGGAGCCAGCCCCAGGGGACAGATGGGTGACCCCTCCCCCCCCCGCCCCATCCTGCGGGGCTTGTGAAACCCTTTCTGTACTACCCCCCAGCCAGGTGGGAGCCAGCCCCAGGGGACGGATGGGTGACCCCTTCCCCCTCACCCCCCAGACCATCTTGTGGGGCTTGTGAAACCCTTTCTGCACTACCCACCTCTCTTTCTGCAGGAGCTTGAGGCCTGCATTGGCTGCATGCAAACACATGCCAGCGTGAAGCTGGTGAAGACTTGCCAGGAGCCTGCAGTGGGCGAGTGCCAACAGTGCTACTGCCGCCCCATGTGGTGTATCACCTGCATGGGCAAGTGGTTTGCCAGCCGCCAGGACCCACAGCGCCCCTACACCTGGCTGGCTAGCCGCGTGCCCTGCCCTACTTGCCGCGCCCGCTTCTGCATCCTTGATGTGTGCACTGTGCGCTGAGCAACCTGGAAGGATCTGTGCCTCTACCAGCCACTTGGAGGGAGTGGCTAGACTTCTCTGGCCTTGGCAAAGAGCTCAACTCAAAAAGCACACAATCTACAGCCACTCTGCCCTGAGCCTGTGGTAGTTTGGGGACTTTGTTTAAAAGAAAATCTTACTGAAACACCCTATCTCAGGGCCTTCAGCACTTTCTCCTCCTGCCACCTTTCTCTGTTTGGGGGCAGGTACTCCACATGGAGAGCATGCTGGGGTCTGCCTAGCAGCCTTCACCTGGTCACTCTGCCTTAACTCTGCCTCATAAGCCTCGCCCACGTGTCCCCAAGCTCACATTGTCTCTTGTCCCAGCACTGAGCACTGGGCTCTGTGGTGTTGAGACCTTCTCAGTGCTGGGCAGGTGCTGCTTGGAGGACTCAGGGTAGAGCCTTAGCAGTAGAGGGGAGAATGGGTTGCCAATGTAGTGTTGCATTTGGCGTAGGGCTCCTGGTGGCTGTGGTCAACGTACTAGTGCAGGGTGAGGAGGAAGGAGAATGACCCAGGTCAGGCCCGGGTGACCCTTGTTAGTCATGGGGCCTGAGGTCCAGGGAGGGCTGCGGCCTCAGACTCCTGGCCCCAGGAAGAGGGTTGTGGGGAGTCAAGGACAGTGACATCCAGAAAGCAAACCCAACAGACCTGTAGGGCAGAGCCATCCACTGCCCCCTGGTGTGCCTGGCTCAGGAGAGGACACTGGTAATCCAGACAGGCAAGCTGCCAAGGGCCTCACAGTGGGAGGGGGAGAGGCCTGAGGCCCAGGCATGGCTCGGGTTCAAGTATGGCTGCGGTGGGAGGCTGTGGCCCCAAAGCTCCTCTACCTAGATGTCCTAGCAGTGCTGGCACCCCAGCCAGCCTACTCAACTCGGGCCGTACCCAACCCAGGGGTTGGTAGCCAGCAGTTCTGGGGGGAGTGTGGGGGTGTTTCCAGGGCTACCCAGAGGGGTCTTGGTGTTCTTTTTAACCACGAAGGAAAACTAGTTTTTTAAAGGTGAATGCAGAAGAGGTCGACAGTTATTTAATAAAATGTTAATTTAAAGCGCCATGCCTTTGCTTTACCTGATGACACGGGGCAGCGAGTGTTGGAGGCCGCTGGGAAAACCTTGAAAGCAGGATCAGGCTTGGGGGGGAGGGGGCGGGGGGCCGCGGCGGCGGCGGCGGGGTGTTCGGTTCAGCCCGGGCCCGGCCCATTGGCCGTCCAGCCAATGGCCTCAAGCAGGGCCCGCAGCCTGCCCCCGCCCTCCCGGGGCGGACTCCCGCACACCAGGCCTAGGGCTTGTGAGGCTCCGTGGTCACGAGTTCGCGGCCGGCTCGAGGCGGGACATAGCCACCGCGCAGCCCAGCGGTCCCGGCCCGACCGGGAGGAAGGAGCTAGTCGGCCGAGACCGCGCCGTCAGCGACCGCCCCTTTCTAGGCGGAGCCAATCGGAGGCGGGCTCTGCGGGCCGGGCCAATCAGGAGCGCCTTCCGCGAAAAGCTGGGCGCGCGCGCGCAGAAACTCCCGCCAACACACGCTGCCTGGGAGCGTGCAGCCAATCAGCGCTGAGTGGCCGCGGCGGCCCTCTCCTTCCCCCCCATCCCCCCTCGTGGCGGAGGGGGTTCCGGTCCTTATGCCTCCCGCCGCGGAGCTGACGACGTCGGACCGCAGCGCAGGTGGCAGATCTGAACGGCGCCGTCCCTGGGTTAAGGCCTGACACGTCCGCCAGTCTCCCCTTCCCCTCTCCTCGCCCGCGAGGCGCGCGCAGCCAGGCCGCGCCCCGCCCCCGCCTAGCCCGTCCCGCGCGCGGGAGCTCCGGGGGCGTGGCCTCCGCCCGCCTAAGGCGGTTGGGGGCGTGGCCGCCGCCTACTTAAGGGCGGTTAGGGCGGGGCGCGCGCGCAGCCGTCAGCACCGCGCCGAGGTGTCCGCGTCTCCTTCCGCCGTCGTCGTCCTTCCTGACGCCGCCGCCATGGCCTGCCGGCCGCGAAGCCCGCCCCGGTTTGAGAGCCGCCGCGAAGGCGGTGCCAGGTGAGCCGGCCACGCGGCCGTCGTCGTCCTGTGGGGCGCCCGCGGCGGGGTTCGCGGGGCGGGCGTGCGAGGGGCAGGCCCGGGCCGGGCGGGGGCCTCGCGCCGGGGTCCGCCCGCTCACCGCCGTCTCTTCGCAGTCCGCTGTCTTCCGGGAGATGGAGCCTTGGACGCAAGCGCAGGGCCGACGGGAGGCACCGCAGGCCCGAAGACGCCGAGGAGGGCGAACTCCCGGCCGCGGACCGCAGACCCCAGAGGTGGGTCCGGGAGGGGCCGCCGGGGCGGGGCGGGGCGTGGCGAGAGGCGCGGAGGGGACCCGGGCTGAGGGGATCCGGGGCTGAGGGGATCCGGGGCTGAGGGGACCGGGCTGAGGGGATCCGGGCTGAGGGGACCCGGGGCGCGGAGGGGACCCGGGCGGAGGGGACCCTGGCTGAGGGGACCCTGGCTGAGGGGACCCGGGGCTGAGGGGACCCTGGCTGAGGGGACCGGGGCTGAGGGGACCCGGGGCTGAGGGGACCCTGGCTGAGGGGACCGGGGCTGAGGGGACCCGGGGCTGAGGGGATCCGGGCTGAGGGGACCCGGGCTGAGGGGATCCGGGGCTGAGGGGACCCGGGCTGAGGGGACCCGGGCTGAGGGGACCCGGGCTGAGGGGACCCGGGCTGAGGGGATCCGGGGCTGAGGGGACCCGGGCTGAGGGGACCCGGGGCGCGGCGGGGACCCAGGGCTGAGGGGACCGGGCTGAGGGGACCCGGGCTGAGGGGACCGGGCTGAGGGGACCCTGGCTGAGGGGATCCGGGGCTGAGGGGACCCGGGCTGAGGGGACCCGGGGCGCGGCGGGGACCGTGCTGAGGGGATCCGGGGCTGAGGGGACCCGGGGCGCGGCGGGCACTCGGGAGCGGGGGGCGCGGGGCCCGCGGGTGGGTGCAGGGGCGCCGGGGCCGCGGCGGAGGGGAGAGCGCGGCGAGGCCGGCGAGGCCGGGGCGGGGCGGGAGTCGGCTGACCATCGTGCGGGCCCTAGTGGAGGCTGAGAGGAGGACGGGCTAGCCAGCGCTGGTTCTGAGTGGCTGTCGCCGGGCTCCGTGGACGGCGGGCGGGCCTAGCCAGACGGGGCCGCTGAGGACGTGGGCCACTCAAGGTTTGGGGCGCAGGGCTTGTGGGCAGTTGGGGGCCCCGGTGCCGACCGTGGAGAGGATCGGCTGCGGGCTGCGGGCTGCGGTAGAGACGCGGACTGAGAGTGGAAGGGCCTCGACTGGGCGCAGCTCTCTCACAGCTGGTGCCCCAGCCTCATTCCTTTATGGCAGGAGCGCTTCTGCTCCGGGCTTTGTCCTTGCCTGTGCCTGGTGGGGTGCAGGGAGCTTGCTGACCTGAACCCTCCGTATCTGCACATGTTCGTGCCGACTGTGAAGAGGCAGGAACGCTGCAAGTGCCTAAGAAACAGGTTGTCAAAGTAGAAGTAGGCCGGCCTCTGTTGTGAGGAGGTCTAGAGCAGAACTTCTGGTGCCGAGTGGGGTGCTCCAGTCCTGGCTACACTTTCTTGTGGCTCCACTTTTCGGGGGGGGGGGGGCAGGGGGAAACTCTGGGGCTTGAACTCATGGCCTGGGCACTGTCAATGGACTTCTTTTGCTCAAGGCTAGCACTCTGTGCCCCTTGAGCCACGGCACCATTTCTGGCTTTTTCTGTTTATATAGTAGTGAGGACTCAAGCCCAGGGCTTCCTACATGCTAGGCAAGCGCTCTACCCCTAAGCCACATTCCCAGCTCCATGGCTTCACTCTCCACTGGTTACACAATTGTTGGATCAGCTTTACTTTTAAAGATTTCATATAAAGCTTACTTTAAAATACTTTTTTTGGGGGCTGGGAAGGTGGCTCAGTGGTAGAGCGCTTGCCTTGCATGCATGAGGCCCTGGGTTCTATTCCTCAGCACCACATAAGCAAAAAGAAAAAAGCCGGAAGTGGCGCTGTGGCTCATGGTAGAGCGCTATCCTTGAGCTGAAGAGCTGAGGGACAGCGCCCAGACCCAGAGTTCAGGCCCCACAACCGGACCCAAAAAAAAAACACCAACTTTTTTTTTTGGCTTACTGGGACAAGGTCTTTGCAGTGCAGGCCACCTTCTTGATCCTACTGCTTCGGCCTCCATAGAGCAGGGATTAGAGTTGCACCACTACAATTACCTTGAAATTTACTTTAGAAATCAAGTGTATGTTTCTGTGTGCTATGTCTGAAGGAACAAAGTTACAAGTATTTATTCATTTGTTACTGCACCTGTGTTTTCAAAGCACACCATTTGAGTCAGTTAGAATACATAAAGTTGTTTATTTGTTGTAGTGAATTTAGTTTTGATGGACCGGTGGTGTCTAATAGGAAAATGGTGAGGAATAATGCAATCTACATGTATTTACATCTAGTCTGCAAGCAGAAATCAGGTTAGCAATTTTAATTGCCAGAAGTTTTGGCCTCAAGTTGGCTTTTTCTTTTTCTCCATCCCTGGGGCTCGAACTCAGGGCCTGGGCACTGTCCTTGAGCTTCTTTTGCTTAAACTAGCACTCTACCACTTGAGCCACAGCGTTCCTTCTGGCTTTTTCTGTGTATGTGGTATTGAGGAATTGAACCTAGGGCTTGATGCATGCTAGGCAAGCACTCTACCACTGAGCCACCTTCCCAGTCCTGACCTGAAGTTCTGAGTTTTCAAGTAGTGGGAATAACTTTTATTTTTCTTTTAAAAAACTTGTTGTCTCATTTATTTACTCATTTATATTTTTGTCCAGTAGTGGAGTCTGAGTTCTGGGCCTCGGCACTGTCCCTTAGCCACAGTGCCACTTCTGGCTTTTTTTTCTGTTTATGTGGTGCTAAGGAATCGAACCCAGGGCCTCATGCATGCAAGGCAAGCACTCTACCACTGAGCCACCTTCCCATCCCTTATTAAGTAACCCATGCTGGCCTCAAACTCATGATCCTCCTGACTCAGTCTTTGTCAGGGCCTTGAACTCAGGGCCTGGGCGTTGTCTCTGAGCTTTTGTGCTCAGAGTAAATATTCTGCCACAGCGCCATTTCTGGCTTTTTGATAGTTGATTGGAGATAAGAGTCTGACGTACTTTCCTGCTTGGGCTGGGTTTGAACCATAATCCTCAGATCCAGACCCCTGGGTAGCTAGGATTACACGCTTGAGCCACTGAAGTCCAGCCTGCCTCAGCCTCTTGAGTGCTGAGGTTGCAAGTGTATGACATCACCTGTGGCTAAATTGCTTGATTGTGGCTAAAGATTTTTTCAGCTGAGTGCTGGTGGCTCACGCCTATAATCCTAGCTATTCTGGAGGCTGAGATCTGAGGATCACAGTGTGATGCCAGTCTGGGCAGGAATGTCTATGAGACTCATATTAATCACCAAAAAACTGGAAGGGGAGCTGTGGCTCAAAGTGGTAGATAGCACCCAGGTGGAGTTCAAATCCCATACCTACCCCCCTCCCCCCAAAAAACCCTCAAACAGTTGCTTGACTTTGAAGTAGAACTAAATTCCTGGATTAGACTGAAATTTAGCCTAGCTGTAGGGGATGTACCATTATGCTTTGTAATGCAGCAAGGACACTTGACGCGGCATTCACATCTTTTTTTTTTTTTTTTTTACATCTTTATGGTAGTTGTGATGAATATAGCCCATGTTCTGACTTTTGAGCATCTAAGAGGTAAACCCTGGGGCCACTGTATGTTGGTCACTGTTCTTTATACTAATCCTGTGTTAAAAATCTTGTAAATCCTGAAAAAACAGAACTAGTTGTAGTCAGTGGGCTGTGTCCCTGATTAATGAGACTGAACCGGGGCAGGTGAGTAGAGGTTGTCTAATGAAGTCAGAAAGGCTTTAAGAATGCCCAAACTCAGTGAAGTTAAAAGAAAAAGTGTGAAGCAAAGTCTACTTCCTTGGTATTTGCTTAAACAGTTTGTGATTATTTTCTAAATGATTTGAAAGGAAACTGAAAGTAATCCGATGGATGGTTCAAATGTGCATTTTTACTTTATTGTAGCTTTACCACTCCTGAAGGCCCTAAGCCC